AGAGAATTGATTAGGATTTTATATTTATAGTACGGATAACTCTTACTACTTGATGAGAAACGAGAAATTGAAAGAAACAATGAAATTAAATTTTTTTTAATGTTGATTATAAAGAGTTTTCATAATTTCCATAGAATCAACAAGTTGACATTTTCTCATCATGACCCATCTTTCTCATTAATATATTTTTTTAGTATTACCCAATCTTATTTATGGGCAAAGTTTTGTTTTTTCTTTTTGCTTTTTTGTTGTTTTAAAAATAGAATATCTATATCTATATTTAAAAGTGTCTGCAGAAGAAAATTTTTCTCTTTTTATTTCRTCCTTTTAATATAATCATGTTCTCTTCTACTTTAATGATAATTGTGACATTCATCTCTATTTCAATTCACCAAATCGAGGTAAAAAAATAAAGTTTCTTTTAAACACAGATTCCGTGATAAAATTTCAAAACAAATAATTAAAATAATCCTCAGCAACGGTGGCAAAAACTTATTGCGGTTCAATAACCTTGTGTAAATATGCATTAAATAGTTGCAGCAAGTGATAAAATGATCATCTCGACAAGAGTATCTAACTGAAATGCTCTTAAAAAGTTTAAAAAGTAGAGTGATAACCAAATATATATGAGTTGTAAGAAGCTAGATATATGTTTGAACATGAAACCACAGAATAGTCGAAATATAAAACATACATTATTTATCAAGGGAAAGGAGCAAGAGTTATGTATTTGTACTATACTACTATTAACCAATGCTCTAACAAGGGAGTTATAAGAGTTTTTACATCAACCAAACTCCAGTTTAAATTAATGAAGTATGAGCATAGTTTATAGCTATATTGGGTCAGACTTATTCTTAAGAACTCACGAATTCTTCGAGAAACAAAGAGAAGAAATAGTTTAAACATGGTGATCAATCACGCAAACATTAAGAATGAAATACAAGCTTTAATAGAAAAGAAACCGCTTCTTATATCAGAAAATCAGCATTTACAAGCATAAATCCATAACCCCCACAGTAGGTTTAGCTCATATTATATCATAGAACATCGAGAGAAGGAGAACGACTACGATCCATCAAAACTTGAGAAAAAATAGAAGAAAAGGAAGAAGCGGGGAATRACGAAATATTCCTCGAATAAACTGCTTCAACCTCCACTGCTATATTTCTCCACCAAATTAGCCTTCCTCCTTTTATTTAATATTCTTTTTCTCCTTTTTCTGTGTATGAATTCTAGCAGTTCCTTGTCTTAAATTGTTTATACCCCTCTTTAATTTTAGGGCAGGTCTCCGTAAAAATCGAGAGCTTTTTCGATTTACTGCCTCTTTTCCTTGAGTAACTTTTCTATCATTTTTTAGCTCAGCTTTCAACGCAAAGATTCTGATACTCTAACATCTCCTGAGACAAATTTCCTTGTAAACTTCAAGATGAATGTTGGGATAATGGAGCCAAAACAGATGACCCGTGTCCTATGAAGAAAAGAATTTTCAACAATATTACCAAGGGTAGGATATCATTGTCTTATAAGGATTACAATATTGTTTTTCTATAAGAATTAGGATATTTGACCTCTTATAAATATAGTACTTATGTTAAGGTTTCATTAGTGCATAATCAAAATAACAGAGACTAGAGTGGTTGTTGGCAGTGTGGGTGAAAAAATGAGTCTGTATCTCGTGGGTTTAGTGAGGGTATTTCCAATTGTGTAATCCTAGATAGTCATTGTTAGGGTACTTAGAAGCAAGATAGTAATATATTGAATGAGATCTCCATTTCAATATTCTCAACTATAGTTGAACCTGTTTTTTCGCAGAAGACTAGTCTCAGGATAGTGGTGAACCAATATAATCATTGTGGTGTTAAACTTTTCTATCTCTATCTCTTATTCCTTTGTTATTGTTACTTACTTATATGCTTCTAGCTTGTGGAAGGGGAAAATCAAATAGTTTCTACTTGAAGAATTTACTCGAGGATCGACTTATCTATTTTTTTCCAACAATGAATGACATAATATGCTTAGCTTCCAAATATTAAATTTACAGACTAGGGATGCTTCTATTTAAAGATAATTCATTTAAAACTCAAGGTAAATTTCACCTAAAATGACTCTTTTAATCTGGAGAGTGATCAAGCATCTAGCACAATGTCAGTCAGGTACCCTAGATGTTGCTGCACCACTCAGAAATGGCAAAAGAAAGACAAGGAATATCAGGCGAGGTCCCCACAGCTCCCCGTGCAGCTTTCTTTTCCCATTTTCTCACTCGCTCTCTATCTCTATATAAACCCCACATAAATATAATTGAGATAAACAAAAACTCCTACGTGGACTCTTTGGCGAATTCGGCACACGTTCTCAAGTAGACTCTCACTAAGATTCCTACAATTACAATATATACTTTACCTCAAAACCGATTGCTCACATTTAAGTTTTAACTTAAGCATCGTAGTGAATTCGATAGAGCATCACACTGGTACTAGATTTCTGTGTACAAATGAATTATGAGCTAGAAAACGAGAATGTACATGTCATTTCTGTGACATCAGTGTGAAAATCTGCATCAACTCATTTCTGATATATATATATTTTGAATGCCTGCGTATGATTGCCCTAATCTTATATTCTGTATGTCGTGTGTATGGCAACCCTCATGAACACTTTTGTACGTCTTGTATATGCAAACCACATGCTTGTATCTCAAGAAACATTAAAGCTTGGAATTACCCATTAAGAATTTTTTAGTTTTTTCCCTTTTTTTTCAATGAAAAAAAATAGTCTTTTTTTAGTTTAACAATACAAAGTGAAGATTTAGATAGAAGGGTCAAACTTTTAAATCAATACGTTTTTTTTTGTTCTTGTTATTGAAAAGTAAGTTAGATAACAACCTAGTTAATGTATTTCATTTGTTTAGTTAATATTAAAATCAGTACGTATTAAACAAAAAAAATTGTATTATCAACTTAGTATCAATATTTATGAGTTTCCATCTCAAAACCAATTGGCAATGAGAGCAGCAGTTCATGTCTATTATAAATTGTCCTTTCTTTTATCAATGTGAGATCCTTAACATGTCCCTTCAAGATGGTGACTCTTTTGGCTCATCGATCTTGGTCGGATCCCATTTTTGGACTGATTGCTCGTTTGAACGTTTTGGACTCTGATACCATATCAATATTCGTGGGGTTCCATCTCAAAACTAATGGGTAATGAGAGGAGTAGCTCATGTCTATTATAAACTGTCCCTCCTTTTATCAAATGTGGGATCCTTAACACTTAGGGCCCGTGTTTGTTTTTGTTTTTAAAAAACAGAAAACCAAAACATGTTTGGTAACCATTTTTAATTTTTTGTTTTTCAAAAGTTTAAAAATTGAAAATACATATTAGAGAGAAAATTTTATGTAGAGTAGAGATGACAATAGTGTGGGTGCGGATGAGGATGCTTGTCCTCGTGAAAAATTTTAGTCTTCGTCTCCACTTCGCTCTTGGGTCAGAGAAATGTTCTTGAGAAAAATTATTGGTTTTTAATTATTTTTATAATTTAAGTATTAAAAAAAGTGTAATAAATATATATTAATTATTTAAAAAATGGAATCGAGGACGGGGACAGAGTCGGGACATGCATTTCCTATTTTTGGGACTCGACCCTACGGAAACTTTTGTCTTCCCTTAGTGTAGGGATGTAAATAAACTTTTGGAAGATAAATTTTAGAGAGATAAATAAAAAGATTTAGAAAAAAAAATAGTGAAGGAGTAGCTAAAGATAAAAGAGAAAAATTGTAGAGAAAAAAAAAATAAAGTCGAGAGGAAAAGACATGTTAGAGATAAAAACAAGATTAAAAATATAATTTTTAGATAAAATAAATAAATACAAAGATAAATAAAAATTACCATGAAAGAAAATTGAATGAGAAAATAAAATATAATTTTCAAAAGAAAAATTAGATTTCTCTTTATAAAATATGAAATTTTAGAGAGAAAAATATTAAATGATTAGAGAGAGAAATGAAACGGGTGTATTAGAAAAAAAACAAAAATATAAAAAAATTTAGAGAGAAAATAATAATAATAAATATTCAAAATACAAAAATTTTAGAAAGAAAAAARTAAAGTTTGTACTTTAGAAATAAAAAAATTTAGTGTGAGAAATAAATTTTTTAAAGATAAATATGAGAAAGAAAAAAAATTGAATATTAAAAGAAAAATCAGATTTTGAACTTTTGAAAACTGTTTTTTTTATTTATATAGAATTTCAAAATAATTTTTAAAAAATAGAAAATAGAAAATTGAATTGTTATGATTCTATTTTTGAAAAACTATCAGAAGTCTTAAAAAAACAAATTTGAACTAATTTAAAACAATTTAGTTGAAAGACTTAAAGTAAAGAGATATATAGTTGTATAAAGACTAAAACACCCTCATATTCTCTGTTTCTCTAACTCTTATTTCTCCTAACTTTTTTTTTTTATGTTTACAATTTTTCTTCTCATTTTTATAAAATCTGTCAAAATTTTAGAAACTTATAAAAGAAAAATTATAAAATTATAAGTGAGTTAATGTTGATCTTTTTTTTTTAACTTAGTACGGAAAAAATCTAACCTTTTAATTTGATTGATTGTTTTTTTTTTTCAATTAAAGATCTAACGGAGAGAAAATCTAACTTCTTAATTAAGAATCAATTACGAAATTATGTAATTTCGATTTTTTCGAGAATGTGTGAGGTCGTATGTGAGTTGGTTGGTAGAGGGAACCAAAGTGAGAATAGCGTGGGCCGGATTTTTAGAAAAATGGATCAAAAGTCCCAACTTCTCATTTCCAATTTGAATCCATTACACAAATATGTTAATTGATTTTTGTTTTGAAGAGAAGAATACGAACATCACAACTGAAAGAGTGCGAATTCAGATTTTGAAAACAAATAAAATACATTTTAAATCAATTCTAGTCCGAACGAAAAAGAGCTAGCCGCCGTTCAATACAAGCAGAGGAAGTACAAAATTCCAAAATCCAAAACAATTATCTCCAATTTCATCAGAAATCCACAAAACTCCACACTTAATTCATCCTAATCCGCAACATACAACTAAATTGCACATTCTAGAACAATCCAGAGATCCAAAGTCCATGTACAGATCAAACTGAACCACCAGATCAGAAGAAGAATAAAACGAGCGATTTTATAATACAAGTGAAGGAATCGGTGTTACGCCGATTCGCCCATCCGATTCAATGGCGCAGAGGAGTTGGAATTGTTGCCGGAAGGAAGATTGTGAAGGATGAGAAATCGGACTCGGCGAGGAAATGGCGCGGAATTGAAGAGCTGCCGCAGCACCTCGGCGAGCAGAACCGTGTACTCCTCCAGAAGCTCCGCCACTACCGAAACCAGCATCATCTCCGCCGTCGATTCTGTTGCCCTTTCTACTCCAATCTTAATATCCAAAAGTTTATCCCTTCAAATCCAACCGTCGCAAATTTACTCGCCCTCTCGCTCTCTCTTTTCTAGAAATATAACTTTTATTTTGATTTTTTGCCTTCCTATCAATCCTATGGATATGGATTATTTATAGACAACCGAAATCTGGGTTTTATTTATTTTTTCCTTTTTCGGGATACTCGAGTAATTTAAAAAGAAAAAAATTGGAAATATAAGATAGTTTTTAGGAAAAAACCTATTTAGGAAAGTAAGATGGATTTTGGTCTCAATTTAAGACACAGACATGCATTATCGTAAAAGTGAGCATAATTCAGCAYAATAAAAATTACCTTGGTGTCATGAATTTTTAAATGTATATCATGCRGGGTTTATTTTTTCTTTTTTAATTTTACTTTTAAATAAAAATTATCTTTAGAAAGATAAAATAAGATGGAACTTGATCTCAATCTCTCGAAGAGAAGTCTTCTTCAAGTGGAGTTAAGTTGGAAGATAAGATAAATGAATTTTAATCTTAATCTCTTGAATAGACACAAGGTGGCGTTAACTTTTTTTTTTTTAATATGTCATGTAGGACGACGATCGAATTCACAACCTCTTGAATAGACACAACCGCTTTGGTGCGATGACATTAACTTGTAATATGGTCCATACATGATTTTTTTTATTTAAATAAAAATTATATTTAGAAATTATTTAGGAAAGTACGATAAGATGGATTTTCATCTCAATCTCTCAAAGTGAAAGAGACGTATACAGTCACTTGCTGCGTTTATATTAATATCATAATTTTAAATTTAAAAATTTTAATTTAAAATATAATAAAAATCTTATTTTGAAAACGTTTATATTAATATCATAATTTAAAATTTTCCTGCACCAGTCAATTTTTTCTTCTYCTATTCTGGCGACGGATTCTTCATTTAGGRTATAGTTTGAACGAGATGCAAAGATTAATTATTATTACATATTTGAATTATTTACTGTTGAAAAATTAAGTTAATTTTCATGAAAAATCTTTAAAGTTCGAAGTACCAATAATTTAATATTATAAATTAAATAAATCAAAAGTCAATAAATAAATTATTAAAATTATGATATTAATATAAATGTTCAAAAATAAGATATTTAATGACATTAAAATCAATTTTTTGTAATTCATTTCTCATTTAAAACATTTAAACATTTTTTAAAAGATAAATTATCTAAAATAGAATTTAGATAATTTAAATAATGATATTAATATAAGCAAGCTAAAATAAGATATTCAATACCTTTAACTCAAAGCTTAAAAACAGATAAAAAAAATCATATTTAAGAATTCAAATTTAATTAAAATTTTCAAGTTCTCCAGAAAGAAAAAAATAAAATTTAAACAAAATATGACAATTACAGCATTGKATAACTATTTACTAAAACAATCATTTCAAAATAAAACTAAAAAAATGAAAAACAACAACTCTTAACAACTCCACCATAAAATCTTTTTATTTTATTAGTAGATCTAACAATTTAACTTTTGACCTATTGGTCAAAGAGAATTACAAATTACCGTTGAATTAACCTCATATTGATCATGATAAATAGRTTTTAACTTAACTTCAAACATCGAGTGCTGTATCACTTTTAAATACATTTTTAAGATCATGTCATTTTGGTTGAAAAACTCTAACATTTATATGATATGTTCGATAATTTTTAGATATAAAATTATATTYTATTTTTAACCTTCTCAACTTTCAATTAATTTKAGTTGTTGGCAGCCAACACTAATCTATCATGTTAAAATTTAGTAAGTTTAGGGTTGATTTCTCACTCTTCCTTTATATATTTTTAACCTTCTTCGAAATAATATATTTGAATTCTTAACAAAAATAAATTTATTTAAAACTTACCGRTCTTTTTTGGTTTAAAAATTTGAAAATATTTTTAAAGATTAGATGACAAAATAAAGAAACATAAATATGAAAATAATAATGCTTGTAGGTTTAATTTTGAAAACAGAAAACAAAAAATACAATGGTACCTTAACAAACTAAATATTATAAGATGGAACATGGTTTTGCTATAAAATTAGTTTAAATCGCATTAAATGGTGAGGACACCCACAGAAAATATTATAAATACAAAATATTTATTTATTACATTATAGGGATGGGGAAAGTGCGTAATAATTRATAAAATGCAATCAGTGGGCGGGTCGGATATCCACGTGGGCGACCCTGGTTTTGCCAGATGGAAGCGCGTGAATGTAGATGCTTCTCCCCTCTCCCCCTCTCTATTAATTAATTTCAGCATATTATAATTATTTAAGAAAAAAGAAAAAGAAGTAATATTATTATGAATTATCTCGAAGTCAAAAAGAGAGGACAGGGACATCATCCTTATCTCCTTTCCGTTTCCACTTCCCACTGTTTTTTTTTATTACGAGAGGAAATGTGGGATGAAACATTTTTTAACCTCCAACTTAGATAATCAAKGGCTGATTTGACCAAATGAATATAGTCGAGTGATAATTGACATATATTTTTAATTGAGAGGTTGTGAGTTCGACCCTTAATCATATATGTTGTATTAAAAAAAATTGATGAATTATATTTATGCAGGTATATTTCGTTTTTTCGATTTAATCTACATACAACTCAAGAAAACTCAGCCAAATCCAATCATCTAGAAAAATGAAATCGTCTTAAAACATTCMTCAACTATTGATAGAGTATATTAGTAATAGACATATAATAGATGGAAATGAGTGATATAAGCGTAAAATGAAAATTATTTCAAAATGTCTAAAACAGGCAGGTGAACAATTTTTTTTCTTTTTTTAAGATTGTCATATTTGTAAAATCATAATTTGCTATAGTTGAAAATATGGTATTGTGATTTTTTTTAGTACAATATGTGGAAGTGAAAATTCGAACTCACGGCCTCTTRAAGATAGGTACTTTAACCAGTTGAGTTAYGTTGTTAATCGTAATCTATTGAAATTTTCATTCATCTWTATAGTTTATTATATATAACTTTAAACCTTGTAATTTAGTTTCTATTATAATTTAAGTTTAAATATAATTATTTAATCCATTAGATTTGCGCAAATCTCACAAAATTATCAATTGTTTTTTGTTAACTTCAAAATCCTTTTCTTTTCTTATTCAATATCAACGCCCTAATTTATCGGATACCAAACACAATAAACTAAATAGAAAATACTAACTCCATTTAAATCAAATTTTATCTTGTATTYAATGAATAGTTATAGATGATGCGTGAGATTAGTTAAACTACGAGGACTAGATYGAAAATTTTAAAATCATAGGATTAGAATTGAAACTAAATTTATATCATAGAAACCAAATAAATAATTTAACTGGATATAGTTTACATGTGCACGACAATATTATAATATTTTTTACTTTTATTTGTTCTCGTATATATTACTTTTGTTAATATATTGTATATTTAAATTAGAGGTCACTCATAAATGTRTTATATATTTGGATTGAGTATTTAAACCCTTAGCTTTGACTATCTCAATGGTCTTTGCCCGACSATGTTCTAGACAAATATTTCGTCGAGAAAAGATCCTCTCGACATTTTCTACTTCTTTATCAAACATTTTGAGACATAAAAAAAGTCTTATTTATAGTAGTGGAAGTCGGTGTATATTTAGTCTCTTAAGTTTCAAAACATACACTTCGATTGAACTGTATTTTGAGAAATAGTTCTAAATGGTCTYTGACCTCCTTGATAGTTAATTTACCAACATTAAGGTATCATGGCGATTAAGTAGTTGTTGATTATACTTGCTGATTTGACAAAATATATTAATTTAATAAAATAATTGTAGGTGATTATGTTTTCCCTCTCCGATATAAGTGATACACTTGATATTAGGTATATCAATTATATATATAAAATATAAAGTATATAATTGATATATCTGATATAATTACTTATATATATGACTTATATCTCTGATATGTTGAGAATGAGTAAGATCGAATAAAGCAAGATCGCAACTACGATTGACTGGGAGATGTACTAATGAAGAAGAAGATGAAGAATATGACAACGTAATTTTAGGTGAAAAACACTAAACAAATTAGAGTAAAAGCCACAAGTAATGATTGAAAAATTCCACTAYATATCAAAACAGGAGTTACAAACTTCTCTCYTGTAGAGGTCGGGAGTTACAAACTTCTCTCTTGTAGAGGAAGAACACGACCTCTCGTGAGAAGAAAATCTTTTCCTTTTATCTTACACTTTTTCTCACTTGGGATGATTATTTGCCAACCGTAGGTATTTATTTGTAGTCCAAATAGACTTACCATCAAGTAAATTCTAAGCAACAAAATTGTCACATATTGCTSTTGCAAAATGTAAGATCTAGYGACTATAAATTTGTTAGATTTTGACCTTTTGACCTTAGACAAARTGTGAGGTCTAGTGGCTACAAATCTTCCACATATTAACTTTGCGCAAATATAAGATCCAGTGGCCACCAATTTTTGTTGGCCTCTATTGATTTGATATKATTTACATGATATATTTGATTTTAGGTATAGAGATTTAATCATCTTTTTTATTTCTTTTATTAGGGTTAGATCTCTATTCTTTTTTGCTTTATTTTTAAATCAGAAAAACAGTGAATATTAACTATTTGCGAGCTTCCCAAAAAACTAAAGACTGAAGCCTCGTGTTTACCATGTTTTCTACATAATCGAAGGGGGAAAATGAAAAAAAGATTGAAGCTTTGTTTTGCTTTATTAAAGAAAAAGAAAATGTCAGATAACCAAAGTTGAAAATGGACGAAACTGAAACAAATTAAAAGAAGCATTAAAAATGATGGGTACTCAAAAAAGAAAAAAAAAAGTTATTTGATGGGATTGCAAATGCACGAATCGAAGTTAAGTGATGTTAAAAGAGAATCCAATTCTTAAATGATTTCCTAAGTTATAATGGGTTCGTTGAAAAAGTAATATCACGATTGTTATTTTTTTTTCATTAGTTGAGATATCCATTTCTCAATTAAATTTAYTTAAATCTATCTATTTAAACATTTTAAACAAGTGGTAGTTTATTCATCTTCAATATTTTCTATTGGTGACTAAAGTTTATAAAATTAAGAGCCAAAAAATGTAAGCGCGGCTCTCCACGAACCTTATTGAAATGACTTCTTACTCTTAATTAAAGCAAGACATTGAATTGCATGAATTATAAATAGAAATATGGGTTAAATTATTAATTTTAATTATTTGACGTCAAAATTTAGTTAAAGTCAATATCCTCAAATTTGAATATTAATAAATTTCTTATACAACACTTTTTTTACGACATCAACTCCATGTCACTCTTTACGGTGTCTAAAGAAAAACATGTCCAACATTTGTACAAAACACATACTACTTCAAAAAAAAGTATCGATTTATTTTTTTAAGAATAATAGGTCATAATTTTGAGAGTGAGTACTTTGTTCTTACCGACCTTTAGGAGAGGTAGGATGTCTTAATTAACACTAAACTATGCTCATGAATTTATTGATTATTAAATAGTTAACATAATTTTGTACAGTTTGGACACTAACACATTTTTTTAATAAAAAAATGTCATGTAAAATTTTAAATGAAAAGAAGGGTTTATTTTTCTCATTACATAAAGTTTATTGAGGAAGTCTCTTTCTTTTTAAATTTCCTATTTCCTATTTCGTCTTTCATGATTTCTATTATTTAAGAAATAAAAATATATACATATCTGATCATTATTTGTTGTTACTTATTATTTAATTTTGATTAGAAAAATTGGCAATCGTTTTCTTTTCCCTCCCTAAAATGTATTTCATAAAAACAAAATACTCAAAAGCAAGTGGATCGATTGCATGTATATCAAAAAATCAATGGTTAATGGCAAATATAGCAACAATTTTTATGATTTGCAAATATTAGCCAATAATAATAATAATAATAATAATAATAATAATAATAATATTAATTAAAAAAAAGCTTCTATCCCAAACAAAGAAATAAAAAAAGTTTGTTATAGCTCTTGCATTGATATACATATGTATATCAAAAGATTGAGTATATAGTTATACCAGTGCTTACCTAAAATTAAATATATCATTAATATAATTTGTGTGACTAATAATATAATTCATATTAATTACATTAGTGATATATTTTATATCAGGTATTATCAATTATATAAGTGGTATACCTATATCGCTGATATATTTGATATGTCCTGCAATGTTATTTAAATTAAAATCATCCGTCCAAAGAAGATTTATCATTAATATACCTAATATGAAGTATATCTTTCATATATCTAGTGTGCCTAATATATTTCAAATTGTATATATTAGTTATATCAATTATATATATTTTAGATTTGGTATATCATTTATATAGCTGATATACCTATATCATTGATATCTTTGACATGTTAGTGAGAAAGTTACAATGTTGCTTAGAAAAAAAATCTCAAATTCAAGGAAGATTGATCGATATACCTAATATGAAGTATATCATTATTTAGTATGATTGATATACTTCATATATTAGGTATATTAATTAGGTAAGTGATATACTTTATATTTATATTCCTGCATACCGACAAATTCTTCAAAATATTCTTTGTCAATCTAAAAGTTTGAGATTTTGAAATATGAACTAAAAAGAAAAAAAAAAAGGGCTAATGACAAAGAGAGAAAGAGACGAAATTTTGAAATTTATTAAGCATAGAAAATTTATTTTTCAGTCATGTAATGTTGGGATCTGTTTTCAATTTAATTTTAGCTTTTATTGTATCAAAAGTTTTTTTTTCTCATGGTGTAATATTTTTTAACCATATTTTTTTCACCTGTGAGTGTTAAAATAAGTTGGTTATAAACTTACCATCATACATGTGACATAAATTTAAACAAAAAATTAGGACACTTCGAGTGAAAAAAAATAAAATTTAGAAGAATTAGAAACGTTTTTCTTTTATATAACCTAATTTCTCTTCTACAAAGTCAATAAATATTGTGTAATGCAGGTGGGACGACGAAACTAAACAAACCGAGTCGAACTGAACTGTAAACACTTTTCGTGCCATGTAAATTCATCACTAACCAATCTTAATATTAAAAAATAAAAAATATATATAATTTTAAAATATTAAAATATAAAGGATTAAATTTAACTTGTTTTAACAATAATACATGGGATAACATATTTTGTGTAGGCTGGACCTAGATAATATGGTCGGGGAGGCAACAAATTGTTTCTAAAATGGATTATAGCAATAACGATTATCATAGTTTGGATTGACAACATACTCTCTATTTAGTCTCAATGTTTCTAAAATGGATAGTCATAGCAATAGTGATATTAATAGCAATCGAAATATTTCCATAATTAAATTGAAGATAGTTAACAAGAAAAAAATTAAACGGCAGAGAAAAATAGAACAAACACGAACCAAGATTTTAATTTTGAGGGTAGATAAAAAAAAACAGTTAACAAAAATAATGATTTTGAGAACAGAGAAAAAAGAAACAAAGAGTGACAAAAATTGAACTTAAGATTTTGATTTTCAGAAAAAGAAAACAAAAGAAAAAACAGTGAACGAAACACTTCAAAAGTAGAGAGAAAAAGGAAAAATCAGTGAAGAAAATGCAATTTTGAGTTGGGAAAAAAATTGAACTCAATATTTTAGTTTTGAGAGCCGGGAAAAAAAAAGATTGAGAGAATAAAATTATTAATAACAGGAGTATGATTGAATGTAATAGGTCATGAACAAAGGAAGAAAAATAAGATTTTAAAAAAGCAAACAAATCTCATTAGCTCATGCTCAAATTGTAAGAGGGAGGTGGACTGTGGGCCTCAGACCTATTCCAAAAAGTTCAAACAAGGAACCACATCGCTCGGTAGTCCAAAAGTATATATCACCCACAAACTGTTTTTAAGAATAATGTTTGAAAAATTATAGGTTCGATTTTACAGTTTTCGAGTTGCAATAGCATCATGTGTATAAAATTACCACTCTGGTACAGTGGTGGTAAACTTGATTATTAAAAAAATATCCACAAACATGTATGAACACGTACGAATAAAAGGGATCCAACAACCACAGATAGTAATCTCATAAAAAGCTGAATTCAGCCACTGATTTAAATATCAAAGCATGTTGGACACAATACTACACCGATGTTACCTAGGTATTTCTCCGTTCATTGATTCGCAAACCTTCATCTCACCATATTTCGGCACCCATTCGATTTTCGAAAATTGGCATCGATGGACTAAAACAATATATTTAGCCTTATACATACAATCCAACGAATAGAGAGTGAATGAGCTTCACGAATTTAAATAGTATCCATTTTTAATTTAAACTTCTAGTATAAGAGAAAAGTATTTTGTTTTGTTTTGTTTGTTTAGGTAGAAGAATGGTAACAAAATAGGCTTTTTATTAGATTAAAAACGAAGATATTGATGCTGAAGAGCGATTGCAAGAGGAGAGACCTACACAGAAGGAAGAAACACTTCGAATAAGTTCAAGTAAGTCCGACTTCAAGTTCAATTGGTTAGCATTAGATAAATTGTGTATCTTAGTTGGAGGATATAACCTTTTTATAGACGGTTTGGGGAAACAAGTTCATGACAACTGTTCCGATAGAAAGTTGTGGTGGTTACATATTATCGGATTTGAGATCGTTTGGAAAGGAAAGAAGTAGTTTCCACCCACTGATTCCATTCTTCCTAAAAAAGGAATGAAAACTCTCATTCATTCATTGATTCCCTTTTTTCTGAAGTAAACTGGGCTAAAAATCCAACCAAAGATTTGTTGCAGTAATTTTTAGTAAATCAAAAAATTCAAAAGGACTTTCTTGAAATTGCCCACACGATCAAACCCCGTGACTCACTGTCACAGACCCCACCGCAGAGCCACCCATTATCAACACCTCCAAATTCCAATCACACACAAACACCCTTTTTATTTCACTGTTACACTTTTTTCACCTTTTTCTTAAAAATATAGACAAATGATTAAAAATCTGAATTTTAATTCTATATTTCAAAAACATCAATCATAGTTCTTATACTTTGAAAAAAAAAAATTACTGTTGTAGTCCTTATTTTCAAAATCAAAACATAAATTTTGTACCTGATAATGGAGAGTCTTATATTGGACCAAATAATACTAATATTTTCAGACTCACCCTGTTGTGTTGGACATTGTTTTCAAAACCCTTAATAAACTTTTGGGTCCAATCCAAATTGTCATTTAGCACTTTCTGAATTTCACAAAAACAGAATCTTTCCCCCACTTTCCTCTGCCCCTCCATTTTCCAATATCCCACCATTTTTTTGTCCCATTGCTCAGTTCAGAGAAATGATCATCCATGGCAACAACAAATTGGGTCACTGTTACTATTCCTTGATCCCCATTTTCACGTTCCTCCATGTCCTCAAATTGGGTTCTTCAAATCTCAAAATTGTACCCACAACAACAACTCCTCCTCCATTGCCAATTCTACCCCTCCCTTCCTTCTCCCAACTCAAATGGCAGCAGCGGGAGGTCATCATGTTCCTCCATTTCGGACCCAACACCTTCACCGGCTCCGAGTGGGGCACCGGCCGTGAGTCCCCCGCCGACTTCAACCCCGCCGCCCTCGATGCCGCACAGTGGGCCGCCACCGCCGCCGCCGCCGGAATTTCCCTCATGATTCTCACCGCCAAGCACCACGACGGATTCTGCCTCTGGCCCTCCCGATACACCACGCATTCCGTCGCTAGCAGCCCTTGGAAGAACGGCCGTGGCGACGTCGTCCGGGAACTCGCCAACGCCGCCGCCGCCCAAGGCATCGACGTTGGACTGTACCTCTCGCCGTGGGACCGCCACGATCGGAGATACGGCCATGATTTGGCGTATAATGAATACTACTTGGCGCAGTTACAAGAGCTTCTCGCAAGGTCACACATTTTCAACCTTCTTCTTCTTCTTCTTCTTTTTTTTTTGTCTATTTTCAGATACTGAGAATACATTTTTTAATATAGCACTGCATAAGATTTTTTTTTTTCCTTCACTTTGTCTTATTACGTTTAAATTTAAGTTAGATGGGATTGTGCTATTTTTCAAATTTGACGAATTAAAAAAAAATTATATATATATATATTTTTCTTACTTATGTTATTTATATTTACACCACAAAATATTTAGATCTATCTAAAATAAACTACTAAATTTAAAGTTGTACCTCTCAAGACTTGATGATTGCAACTTCTAAACTTATATGAAATAAATCTATTAGGTAATTGTCAAAATGAGTTTTGACACATATATTCAATATATTAAGGTTGTGAGTTCGAACTTTCACCCTTGACTATTGTACTAAAAAAAATTATTGGATAATTTTTTAAATAATATAGTTACATGGTAGAGTTATTGATGGATACGTATTAAATTAATACAAAATTAAAAGCTTAAAAAACTATTGAGAGTGGAATAATTAAAAAAGATGTTTTGGGCATGTTTTTGTTGTAGATATGGAAATGTGAGAGAAATTTGGTTCGATGGAGCAAAAGGGAAGAATGCGGCGAACATGTCGTATTACTTCTCCGACTGGTTTGCGATGGTGAAGGAGTTGCAGAGCTCTATCAACATATTTTCCGATGCCGGACCGGACGTCCGATGGGTCGGAAATGAGAAGGGCTCGGCCGGGACACCCTGCTGGTCCACCATCAATCGGACTTCCCTTGCCATTGGAGAAGAAGGCATTTCCGAGTAAGTTTTGCTGAATAACTCATTATTTTTAAACAAAAAGAATTCTAATTTATCATGTCTCACTTAATTGGGAAAGATTCAATAGTGATCATGGTCGTTTCAAAAAATTTTCAAAAGCTACTTTACAGTTGAATGCCTTTAAAAATAATTATTGAAATAATAAGTAAAACAAATCATTAAACAAATTTGAAAACGATTTTCCTAATCTAGCTCAACTTAGCACCTGACTCCGAACAAGAGATCATGAGTTCAAATCCTTTCACCTTTATTTATGTTACAAAAAAACGTTTTACCAAGGGATAACTATATCATAGAATTTTAGATAGATAAAGAAACGTCAAATTATAAAATTTAGTTCCTAAACTTTAAACTTGTCTCTAATAAGTCCCTAAAATTTTAACAATGTATTTAATAAATTTTTAAACTTCAAAATGTAGTTCTTTAATTTTATATCTCGTTATACATTTTCTTAAAATCGAGTGACTGACCCAAAATTAAAATGTTTAGAATTTATTAAATACAAAATTCAATTTTGTGTCATATAGGCCAAGAAATGAGAGGTGAGTTGAAAATTGCAGGTACCTAAGCAAGGGCGACCCAAAAGGGACACATTGGGTAGCACCAGAATGTGATGTATCCATAAGAGAAGGGTGGTTTTGGCACAAATCAGAGTCCCCAAAAAGTGTAAAAAAACTTCTAAAAATCTACTACAACTCAGTGGGAAGAAACTGTGTCCTCCTCATCAACGTCCCTCCCAATTCCACTGGCCTAATTCCCCAACAAGATGCCCACACCCTCAAACACTTCAAGTCCGCCATTGACACAATTTTCTCCACAAACTTGGCCCAAGATTGCTCTCTCAAAGCCAGCAGCCAAAGGGGTGGCAAAGATGGTGCTTTTGGGCCTCAAAATGTGCTGGATGATGACCATTTATGGACATATTGGGCACCCAGACAAGAAGTTGATGATGACAGTGACCATTGGATCGAGATCAGAAGTCAGCCAGATCGACGGCTGAGATTCAATGTGGTGAGGATCCAGGAGGCCATAGGGCTTGGCCAGAGGATCAAACGGCATGAGATTTATTTGGATGGTAAGATGATTGTGAGTGACGGAACTGTTGGGTATAAGCGGCTGCACAGGATTGGGAGTGGGGTGGTTTCTGGGCGTGTTGTGAGGGTCAGGTTCACTGAGTGTAGGGCTAGGGCAGTCCCTTTGATCTCCTCTTTGGGTCTGCATTTGGACCCCTTTTGGGACCCCACTGGGCTCTGAGATGCCCTACAACTTAAGGGATATGGGGGGCCCTATTTATTACTCAATAATTAACCTGATTGGACAATCCTTCTTGCTCAGCCCATTTTCGATCTTCGTGAAATTCTTTGTTCAAATGGGCCATCTGATGTATCCATTCCTTTCGAAGGGAACAACGACTGGTTGAGACATAAAATGTCGTAAGTTCGAATCCTCACTTCTACGTATTATTGAGTTCAAAAAAGAAAAATCTATGTTAGGAGACTTATAGAAAATAATCAAATATTTAATTTCCACTTCTGGAATTTTATTAAAAATTCAAAAGTATTTTTTTGGAAGAGGAGAAAAAAAAATGTAGTTGTGAGAAAACAAACCTAGGTTTTAGAAATGGAAAGTTAGACATGAACTTTTTGCCAAATAGGACTTTGTTTTTATACTTTTTCAACTTTGTTTACATAGTCATCTGTTTTTTTTTTCTCTATAAAAAATATTCATACTTTAATAACCAATGTTAGTTGAATGAAACTTAAAAATTGACGTGGTATTAAAAATATATGAGGTGGGAATTCGAACTTAATATATGTGAAAAGCACTAGAAATTTTTACTTTATTTGTTTGCAAACTCTAATATTTGACTTTTTAATTAAGAATAAATGTTTTAATTAGTTGGGTTATGCACAGATTGACTTCTAATTTTTTCATTGAAAGTAGAAAAAGAAGATGAAAGAGATATAAAATAAATTTACTTGACATCAAAATATAAAATTAGTGTAACTTTCAATACCCCTATAATATTGGAAAAGAGAAAAAAAAGCTATGTATAATATTTTGCTCATTATTAATACTTTTGTGTTGTTATTGAGTCATAATGTCAAATTTCTAGTCATATATAACATCACAATTTATGCAAAATGGGAAAAAAAAAATCATATGCACTATATTATATGATGTGCATTGTTAAACACCATATAACATATAATTCTTGACCGAAGTGTTTGATTGGAAAACACTTAAAAATATATATATTTTAAGGGTGTAGCACTAAACATCGTAAAAATAATTTGTTATTGAAAACTCTTTACCAAGGTACTTGTAATCAAAGTATATTTGCTACTTTTCATTTTCATTTTTTTAATTCAACAATTAGTATAAGAATTCGAATATCTTATTTTTTGGTTAAGGATAAATGTCTTAATCAGTTTTTTAGAATAGTTCAAACAACTCTTCTAATTTTAAGCACGGACGCACACATTTTCTCTTAGCTTCTCTCCACATACATTTTCTCTTACTTTGCTTCTCACCATTTATATTTTCTCTCTCTAATGTCTCTTTCTATGCACACTCCCTCTTGCTACTCTTCTTCTATACTTACAATTTTCCTCATTGATATATCTCGAATATACACGCAGATTTTCTCTTACATAGTCTCTTTCAAAACTTATATCTCTATACACACTTTTTTTCTCATTGATTTATTTATTTTTTATATTTTTAATTGTTTTCATTTTAGTTATCTTATATAATTTTAATAAATTTTAAATTTTAGAAATGTTTATTAGATAAATTTTAGACATTGAAAAATATAGTTGTATTTCTTCTTAGAATATAAAAATTAAAACTATAAATATGAGGGTGAAAATTTTAGTTTTTAACTTTTAAGGTGTTAAAATTGCTTGAGTTGGCAAATACCAGCATGATTAGGACAAAAGTACTTTGAAATATTATAACAAATCTACAAACTATTTTATTATTAAGAGCATTTTTAACAAAGACACTCTCTAGAGAGAAAATATTTTTAATTTTTACATTTCAAAGTCCATGATTATTGTAACTGTAATAATAATAAAATCCCTCAACCTTCGTATTGATTTGTGCAATTTTTTCTAATAAAAAGTTTTGATAAAAGCACTACTTTAAATAATTAGATGATTAATTAATCTATTGCCCTATTTTATTTAGCTAATTAATTTTATTAACTTTTTAGCAAGCATTAATGTTATTAGCAACACTCTATGGTCTGGTAAAGACTACAAATAGCTATCTTCAGGAAGAAGAAAAAAAGACTATAATAGCTAGATATAGGGTTCTATTATTGTAGACCTTAAGCAATATATATGAATATTCATTTGAGTTTTCGGGTTCTCTTTTCTTTCCGATCAATTTCATAATTTATCATCATTAATTATTGTTTTAGTACAACAAATCGAGGTATAAAGTTTTGAACCTCCAACCTCAAAGGAAAAACAGAGGTTAATTACTACTAAACTTGCTCACGTTGACATCATTAATTATCTTTGGTAAAAATAATATTATTACATTCTTATTTTATATGATAATTCTCAATTCACCTAAACATCTATTAAATTTGTACACATATAGTTTAGTTTTTTTTGTTTTTTTTGGAAAAAGATCACTCCATTATGTGAGAAACATAGAACAAAAGAGGGAAGATTAAATAAAAGCTACCCAATTTAGAGAAATTATAGAAGGATCATAAATACAAAATAAAGAAGATTTTTTTTTTTTGAGAAAAAATAAAGAAGATTTTGATGACTAAAGAGATGCACATAAATAAATAAATAAATAAATATATATATATATATAGTTTAGTTTTAGATTATCATAATTCAAATAAGGACGAGAATTTGAACCTATTAATGCATTGGTTATGTTATTATCCTCTAAATCGACCTAATTTATCATTTTAACCTACATATTAACATATAATCTCACAGTAATTATTGATTATTGTAACATCTAAGTATTTTTCTTTTAAGGCACATATTCTTTAAATAGAAAGAAAAAAAAAACACAATATTCTAATTCTTGTCTTGTGGCAGGCTGGCATGCCCATCTCTCTCCAGTAAAATTGGACAAAAGGAATGCAAGTTTTGTCTGAAGGCTCGAGAACGAAAAGGAAAAAAAAAAGTACAGAGGGATAAATATAAAAATCAAAGGGAAAAAGAAAAACAAAAAAGCAAGTTGCAAATTGAGAAAGAACTGGAAATGAAGAGGAGGAGAACAGTTGAAAAGCAACCAAAGAGATGAAAATTTTTGGTTGGGGATATAAGAGAGTCAGTAATTCCATTAATAACCATTCAAACCCTTCAGCTTCTCCACTGGAAAAACAGGGCCAAAAGAGAGAGTAAATGAAGAAATGGAAATGTCATATTATTATAGCAACAAAAACAGTTAAAAAAAAGTGTGTCATGTCAACATGATACTGAACCATACTATACATTAGGATTGAAAAATGGTCCAACCCTAAAAGTATATAATATATGGTCCATTTTTAATTTTTCACCATAGAAGAAGTGGGAAGAGGAGGGGTAGGGTAGGGGGGGGTGCCCTAGGTTTGGAAGGACAGTGACCAAAAAGGAAAGGGTTAAACAAGGGGGAAGAATTGGGAAATAAACACACAAATTTAACAATACCCATATGTGAGATATTATGATGATGTGTGAGTACTCTCTCATCTCAGCATTTAATAATCCCTTCCAAATGGGTCAGAAGTTTATGCTGCTCTCAGCTTTAAACAAACGCACACAGACACTTTTTTTTAAGATTAAATAAAAAAAAAAAAGTTAAAAATTCAAACTTTTCATCAAAATTTTTATAGAGAGAGAGAGAGAGTGGGAAGGGTAAATTAGGGTTTGATGAGAGATGGATATGGGAGGAAGATGATGTGTCGCTGTCTTGTGAAGGCTTTTGTATATATTCATAATAATTATTTGATTTATGGGATCGGCTGCCACGCTTTGCACTGTCATTGTTAAATGCACTGTCTCAATAACAAAACACCAAAACCAAGCCCCCAGTCCCCCACGAGCTTTTCTCTTCCGCTGGTCGGATGCGAAAAGGAGATATCTATGGTATATAGGTGAGGACAAGAGTTTCAATGATGTAGGATTTTTTTCAAATAAAATAAAAAGTAAAGTTCATGTGATCGGATGCTTAATCCTAAAACGGACAATATCATATCGTTGTGGAATTTGTTGGTTCTTGAAGTTTAGAAACAACAACTCAAACAAGCTTTTTTCTTCCGATTCCCATTTCCAATTTTGTTCCGAAGATAAATAAAATCATTGTTTTAGCATACTTGAATTCATGGATGTCGGAGTAATGCAATTCATTTTTTCTTTATTAAAACGAAGAAACAAGAACAAGAAATCGAAATAAGGTTACCAAACAAGCCTCAAACTATCATCAAATGGAGCTTTAATTCTCTCTTTGTTTGTTATTTTCTCTCTCTGATTGTCTTATTTCATCTCCTCTCTTCCCCTCTCCTTGATTTCTGAACACTCCGTACTTTATACATACAATAACAGAATCAAACTTAACACAAAACTCTCTCTCTCCATCTCTGTGTGTGGCTTGAATGGAAAGAGAGAGAAGAGATGTAAATGTGAGAGAGATGGTCCATTCATGGTACCAAAGCAATTGCCTTTCCTTTTGGTTTCTTTTTTGTCTTTCGTTTTCGTTAGTGTAAACAAAACTTCAAAGGAAGACCAAATTTTTTACATGTCAGTTGGTTTGTTATTCNATACCCTCTTTATTTCCACACCCTAATTTCTCAACTCACCCGTTTGTGCCTCTAAATTTTGGAATCTTTTTTCAAATCCCTTCGTCTTTCTTCTGCTAACTGTCTGCAGATGAATAATAATAGGGTTACTCACTTAATTAAGCCGTACCTAAAATTTATAGTATTTCTGTAGTACCTACTCCCACTATTTACATTGTGAAGCTTCCTACGGTGAATAATGTTACCGTGGGTCTAATAATGAATAAAACTTGTATCTATACTCTCTCGTAGTACTAGAAATTTTTCCGAATTAGAAAGATGGTGGATGTATAGGAGCACGCCACACTGACCCATCCACCCATTTTTCCTATTCTCTATGTTTCATTTCTAACTCTTGTCTATGCAATAAGGGTGGGTGTTGTTGTCCTTTTTGTATAGTTTTAGTCTATGTACATATCATAATTCTTAACCATTTGATTGCTATATGGAATTATTAGGCCAAGTGGATACATTGGTCCTAATGTTTATGATTTTTTTTTTTTCCATTTGAGATAACGTGGGTAACTATATAATTTTAACTTCAAACTTTTGATTTATTTATTTAAAATATTCAACTTTGAATAACGATTGTAATATACACCTCCTCTACTAAGTTGGAAAGTTTCCCATGAACCAATTAACCAATAAATAAGAACGTCCGTAACT